TTTGTCTTTTGGTTTTGTCAACAAGACATCTCTTTTAGAGTGTCCACATAACTAGTGTTTATTTGGTATTTAGGTTTGTCAATGCAGTATCCCTATCAGAGAGTCCACATAGCTAATATTTTTTAAATGTATTTGGGTATGTCAACGAGGCATCTCTTTTAGAGAGTCCACATAGCTAATAATGTTTATTTTACATTAAGAGTTGTCTAACTTGACATCCCTGAAGGTCTATATAGATCTGGCTAATGTAGCAAGGAAAAACTCATCTCAAAATATTATTATTTTCAGAGTTGTATTATTCATATCATCATTAGCATTGTTAACACCAATATTATTTCATGGGGTAAGTAGTTTAATATAACATCCCTGCAATTAATACTCAAAACATTCAGATTTCTTTGCCTTTTGTCCACTTTGTGTGAACCCAGCCAATATTGGTTGTAGAAATACTTGCTGCATGACAACGTGTTCTGTAGAATTAGCAGACTACTAAATGAAAGTTTAGTTGGCACTGCAGAGCTGGGAGAGCTTAGGGTGGCTTATAAAGCCGAGGCTAAATAAGCATGAATCTTCCGTCGACTGGTCAGGCACTGCAGAGCTGGGAGAGCTTAGGGTGGCTTAGATTCAACTTTTTTTTTAAAAAGCCGAGGCTTAATAAGCATGTATCTTCCCTTGGCTGGTCAGGCACTGCAGAGCTGGGAGAGCTTAGGGTGGTTTAGATTCAACTTTTTTTTAAAAGCCAAGACTAAATAAGCATGTATCTTCCCTAATTTTGATACAATGATACGATTCTGCCTGTTGCCTTTGTTTTGAAACTCTGGTTTCTTAGATTCACCAATCAATATCAGAAACCTATGACAGGATAATAAGTTGGTGATTGAGAGGAACTTGTCAATATGTCTTACTTATTGTTTATTTATCTTCTAGAATCAAACTGTGATATTTATTGGGTTTATTGTATTTGAAACATGTGTTGGTATATTCTGGCCCTCTATTGGTACACTACGTGGTAAATATGTACCTGAAGAAAGTAAGTATATATTATCAGGATATAGTCTCTTTAAGGGGGAAAAGGAGGGGGCAGCTGGCAGGAATTGCACCCCCAATATTACCCCCACTTTCTTTTTAACAAATTTAAAAACTTTAGTTGTAAACGTTTTTGCCCCAAAATATGTGTCAAAATGCAACAAAACAATCAAATGTTTTGAAAATGTTCTTGGTAGAACACTTTCAAACCCCCTAGGAGGGGCTAGCAACAAGACGCCTCCACAGAGTTGCCGCAATTTGAATTCATCCTCGACAGTTGTCGTCCCTATTGAGTCAGTCTGCTTCCTATTAAAAACCCAAGTCTCGAGGGTGTTGCTATGTAAATTAGTAGAGCTTTATTACAACTATCAGTCTCGATTGTCTGATTAAATTCCACACCACAACCTCAATATCTACTTTATAAACTGGTAGAGGTTCATTTCAACCATCTGTATCTCTTTTCAGAATGTATTGTCACATATATTTCATGAACAATAAGATATTAAAAACTTTTTTTTATTACAGCTCGAGCAACTATAATGAATTGTTTCCGAGTTCCATTAAATTTAATAGTGGTTGTTATTCTACTTCAGGTCAGTGGTTTTTTTTTACTATTATGTTTTAATCTAATTGACTAGAGAATATCATACAGTAGGACATAAAAACTCAATTCATTTCATTTCATTTCATAGAGCACATCTCGTAGTATAATATCTTTTACTTTGGTATAGGAGAGAAACCTCTACTTTCGATTTCTTCTGAATTTGAATGATATTTAGTCATATGTCAATACAAGTTTGTCTAAAACACTAAAAAAACATTAATACACCAGAAGACAGTGACATCGCCAGATCTCGAGACTGTGGGTACAAATAGGGGGCACAGCGACTGAATGGAGGAGGGTGGGGGGTGGAATGTAGAGACTGGGGGTTACAATTAGGGGGCAGAGTGACTGAATAGGGAGGGGGGGAAATGTTGAGACTGGAGGTACAATTAGGGGGCAGAGTGACTGAATAGTGGGGAGGAATGTTGAAATTTGAGGTACAATTAAGGGGCAGAGTTATTGAATGGGAGATGGTGGAAGGCAACTGTCGAGACTGAATTCAAAATGTGGCAATTCTGTATAGGTGTCATAGTTACAAGCCTCTCATAGAGCTTCTTAGAGGTTTCTTCAATGAAAAGTTTCGAAAACTTGAATTGATTTGGTTCATTCTGACTCATAATTTTAAATTTTTCTATGGGGGCAAATATCCCCTTCTGTACCCCCACTGTATCTGTCACTGACAGCAAACAATACAATATTCTTATGATAGCATCCTCCGAAATACCCTGCCAGCACTGTTTGCTATTTAACTGATACCTCTGTATTTAATTTTGTAGGATCTAACTATAACTGTTGTATTTGGTTGTTGTACAACATTTTTATTAGCAGCAGCCCTCTCTCAACATTGGCTATACAGGTTAGTACACTTTATTTTAATTATTATACTATTATATTGTGGTCTGAATTATTTTCTTCCAAACTAGAGTTATCTCCCATTTTCTGAGGTATAGTTGGCTGTTTCAAGGTGGCGCTCGATTGGTTAAGTCTGTTTTAAGTTTGGCATCTATGAAATCAGATATGTCACATTCAAAATTTTTATTTCTAATTTTTTCTCTGCCATTTTGAATTCTGTCTGCACCTGCTATTTTTCGGGACACACAGAACTTGTTCTGAACTCTGTTCCAAATTGTTTTATTGAACATCTACTTCAGTCCATGAATCGGAAACGAGTAGAAGACACCAATCTAGCGGCCCTTAACTGTCTTGAGGCATGATGTAGTGGGTTGCATGGGGTTGTTATAAGGATATGAAAGGGGGATTAAGGATATGAAAGGGGGATTAAGGATATGAAAGTGGGATTAAGGATATGAAAGAGGGATAAATTTATGATTTAGTTTTGATCCTTTTTATGTAGATAATGTTTGTTTATGTTTATGTTTAAATCTAATCTATTGTATTGAATGATTCCCCAACATCTTGCATCGCTCCTATTGCCTATCCTAAAATACTTTGCTAAAAAAGCCTTTTTAGAAACACACAAATCTCTTCTTTTGATCTTGGTCATTTTCACAATGTCATGGTATTACGAACTTCATCTTATACCTTGATTGCAATAGCCACCTTTTTTGTATTGTGGAGTTTGTCAATGCAACGATTTGGTTGGATTGTATGATAGTGAATTCGGCCAATCAGAATTTGTGACAGAAAGTCTGTAAACAATAAGGCATAATGATTACTGTTGATTGCTCTGATTGCCTGTATTTGCCGGC